AATGAGGAAGTTGGCTTGCTTCGATCAGCAGCTTTGAGAGCCTGGCTGCTGGGAAGGGTGTCACCGAGGTTAAAGGAGCAAAGGCTTTTGCTGTGGGTGGAAACTAATTGGCTGCAAACATTAATAAATTATGCTCACTATTCGTGTCAAGGCAAAGCTGAGAGGGATGGATGCTTTTATCTATCAAGGCATTGCGCTCTGCCACATGCTATGCAAAAAAAAAAAAGAAGTGTTATCCTGAGACATGAGCTTATCTTCCTAGGGCAAGAGAAAGAGAAGCTAAATTATTTGGCAGTGCCTTTTTTTTGGGAGGGGATTGTAAAAAAATTTTTGTTTGAATATATATTTATTTATTTGAAAGGCAGAGTTACAAAGAAGGGGTCAAGACAGATCTTCCATCCACTGCCTCACTCCCCCAGGGGCTACAGTGGCCCAAGTTGATGGGCCAGACGGAAGCCAGGAGTTTGGAGAATCTTCTAGATGGGTCACAGGGCGCCCAAGCATGTGGACCAGCTTCTATTGCTTTCCCCGGGTGCATTATCAGGGAACTGGATGGGGAGTGGAGCAGCTGGGACTCTTAGCTGCACCCACATGGGGTGCTGGTGTAGCCGGCAGTTGTTTTACCTGATATGCCACAATGCTGGCCTCATTTATAATGTTTTAGATTTGATATTTTCAGTTAATAAATCATGGATAAGAAACTTGCCAAGAAATTCTCTACCATAAACATTTATTACTGGGGCCATTTTTAGGGTTGTGCTAAAATGTGTTTGGTTAAAAACCTGTCATTTCAGGACTAAATGGTATCTTCTCTCTTTTCATGTCCCTGTCCTAAGTATCTTGCAACACACCGCTTAGGCCGTAGATGAGCTGTGGTCCTATTCCTAAGATTCCAGCACCCTGTTGTCATTCTTCAATTTAGATACTGTGGACTGGCCGGTTGATTTTTCTTTGCAAATGTCTTCCAAAATTTCCATAACAGAGGACGGTGAACCTGGAAAAGTTTCTCTGAAGGTACTCTTAGCAAAGTCCTGGCAAAGAAATACCTTTGCATTTCAAGATCCTATCCTTTGTGTGTGTGCGTTTTTTTTTTTTTTTGAGATTTAAAAAAAATGTATTTTTATTTGATAGGCATATTATGGAGAGAAGGAGAGGCAGAGAGGGAAAGCTCTTCCATCTGCTAGTTCAGTCCCCAAATGGCCTCCATGGCCGGAGCTGAGCTGGTCCAAAGCCAGGATCTCCCACGTGGATGCAGGTCCTAAGGCTTTGAGCCATCCTCTGCTGCTTTCCCAGACCACAAGCAGGGAGCTGGATGGGAAATGGAGCAGCTGATGCCTGAAGGTGGAGGATTAGCCTATTGAGTGTGGCAGTGGCTTCAAGATCCTATTCTTTACGTGCCAATTTGGTATCTTTTCTGCTTGAATTATTCTTATATTTCTCTTAGTTTTTAGAAGCTCTGTTGTTTCTTATTTGAAAGGCAGAGTGGCACAGAGAAGATAGAGACAGAATGATTTTTAGATCTGCTGGTTTACTCCCCAAATAGCCGCATCCACTAAGACTGGATCAGACTGAAGCTCGGAGCTAGAACTTCAGCTCTCTTTCCGGCCTGGTTAGAGACACTTGAGGAGTCACGTGCTGCTTCCTAAGCACGTGAGGTGAGTGTAGGGTAGGAAGTGGAGTAGCTGCCTTTCAACTTGGCACTCCCATGCCGGGTGTGAGGTCCCAAGTGGTGGCTGGACTCACCAGACCACAATACCGATCCCTTTAGCCTTATTGTGATTGCTATTTGAAAGGCAGAAAAGAGAATGGGAGACGGGTGGGGGGAGTGGGAGGTTGAGAGAGAGAGGGAGAAGGAGACAAAGAGATTTTCCATCCATTTGTTCATTCTTCAAATTCTTGCAAAAGCCAGAGCCTGGGCCAGGTTAAGCCAGGAACATGGAAATCAGTCTAAGTCTTTCCTGCGGGTGGCAGAGAGACCAGCTACTTGATGCATCTCCACTTCCTCCCAGAGCAGCAGGAAGCTGGAATCGGAGTACAGTAGAGACCAGACAGCAGGCACCCCAGGATGGGACTCAGGCGTGCTAACGTGCTAACCGCTGTGTCAGATGCTCAGCCCTTTATGCAACCTTCCTACTGTTCACATTCCTTTGTGCATCTCTTCTGCCTTGACTCTCTACTTATAACATCCTCCTTTAGCCCTTGTTTGGATATCCTTGTTTTATGCTCTGCTTGTTTTTAAATTTTTTTTCTAATTTCAATATAAATTGTAGTGATGGTGCTGTCTATTTTAAAAAAAATATTTCTTTACTCTCAATTATTCTCTAATATGACAAAGTCCTTAATAGATGCTCAGTTAAGAATGCTTCCTTGTTTGAAAATCTCTCGAGGGGCTAAAATTAAAAAACACCCTGATGTTATGCTTTTTACATTGAGCTGAAAAGTCAGCTGCAGACTGCTACCTGGACTTAGTCACTAGTTCTAGACTCGAATCTCAGGCTTGTTTTCGAACTAGCCAGTGTCATGAAATTTTTTTTTTTTTTTTTGCACATTTCTCAACCTAAGTTTTTATCAAAGATTAATTAATACCTAATTTCCATATTAATTGTGTATAGAGCATTTTTGTTGCTATGACAGAGTACTTGATGCAAGGCCATGTGTAAAGAAAAGAGGCTTTTTGGCTCATGGTGATTGGCTGTGAGTTACAACCAGCTTGGTACAGGAATCTCCAGGGGCCTGTGACTGCATCACAGCATGGTGGAGAGTTACAAGGGAAATGAATGTGTGCAAAAGGCTCAGCATGTGGTGTGGCCTCACTTTATGATAAGCTGTTCTTGTGGTAGCTTATCTAGTCTCTAGAGAGCTAACCCACTGGTGTGAGATGTCCATTCATCCTCTCTGAGACAGATACCTCCATGACAGCAAGGCATCTACTGGCCCCCCATTTCTCAACACTGTTGCATTGCACACTAAAGCGCTGTATGAATGCTGTTGACAACAAATCATATACAAACTCTAGCAGACAGCTTGATTCACCCACAGAGGGGATTCTTCCAATATGGTACCTGGTTCAAGAATATTAGCATCGGGGTGGGCATCTGAGGCTGTGGCTAAGATGCTGATTGGGACACCCATATTCCATTTGGGAGTGCTTAGGTTCAAGTCCTGGGTCAGCTCTCAATTGCAGCTTCCTGTTTTGCAGTCTCTGCAAGGCAGCATGGTCTGAGTGACTGGGTCCCTGCCACCCATATGGGAGACCTGGATTTGGCTGTGGGCTGGCCTTGCCTGGCCTGGCTTGGCTGTTGTGGGCATTTAGGGAGTGAACTAGCTGCTGGGAAATCTTTGTCTCTCTGTTTTTCAAACAAATAGAAATGAAAAAACACCAAACAAACAAACAAAGTAAGTTAATGGACCTTACTGTGGAGGTGCTGAATTAGAAATTTTTGTCTCCTGATGAGCCTACGCAGTCCTGCAGGGGATTCTGATGAGAAAGGCTAAGAGCTACATACATGCAGAATAGGAAAAAATTCCTAGCATGTTGAGAAGCTGTATATCAGAGTCTTAGTAGGCATTGACAAGTGTACAGTAATATCGTAGTTGACAATGAAAAATCCATGTCTTCCATTCAGCTTTGGGGCTCTGTAGCATGGCTCGCCATCGCATCATGTTCCAGTTTCCAGGTACCGCCCATGGAATTGCAGCACCCAAGCTCCTGTAAGGTACTAGCAATTGAAGAGTGAAAACCCTTTTGGAGTGTGAATTAAGATATGTACAGCAAACAAGGGGACTGATATCTCGTGGCAGTCTCTTAGCGTTGCATTCATTACATTGTATGCGCGCTAGGCTACACCCGCAGTGTCCGCTGATCAACATTAGGTAAAGCCGGTAGTCCCATACGCATGCAGAGGTGGTTGCATACCTCACTTCTACACGTCTAACATTGAAGTCGGCTTGAAGCTGGCTGAAGGCCCTCAGACAGGACAAGAAGATGCTCAGGAGCAAATGGCTTCTGTTCATCGGCGCTTTCGGTCTCTGCGCCTTAATCTGTACTAATTTGTGCTTTGAGATTGTACATTCCAGGTTGAAGAAAGGGATTTCTAAGAGTTTCTGGGGGGTTTTTCTTAAAAAGAAAAAAATATATATATATGGTTATAAGCTGGATCTGTAGCATTTCCTCCAACACTGCACCTGTGCCGATGCTGCAGTCTGTTGCTGTGCTGTAATTTTGCCTTATGGAGTATTCAGACTCCTGTGGGACCTCACGCATCAGCAAGAGCCGCCACAGCACAGGCTGGACTTGTGGCTTCACTTCAGGTCAGCAGCTACTTTATGCCAGGCGCTGTGCCACAAACACAGACTACCCGTCAGTCTAGCCCAGCTCATTCTGTGCCCAGATGAGTCAAAGCCTAATGGCTTGAGACTTCGGTCGTTGGACTCCGTTGGTGCATTAGCAAGAGGAGATGGTCTCTGTGTGTGGGAACAAAGAATGCACCCATGGTTTGTGCCTTCCCATGTGGGTCACAAGGAAAACAATGTCAATTTACACGGGATTTACCCACAAGCGCCACCTACAGGAACAAAGAAGTCCTACAAGACCAGCGAAGCAGTGACCACAATCAGTACTTTATGAAAGCACACTTCAAAAAGTTCATGGCAAATGGTGTTAAAAGATAATCTTACTTTTGTGTTCCGGAACTTTGAAAAACATGCTACAAAGGGGGGGGGGATCTTTATCAAATAACTCTTGAAAAATTCGTGTAATGAAACAACTAGCATGGACTTCAAAATATTTTGGCACCAAGATAAACTTAATCGCATTTTCTGAGAACATATTGGGGTATTCTTCTTTGTCCATATTCATTTGTCTTGTTTTGACAATTAGTTTGTAAGGTCCCGGAGGACAGACCTGAGCCTTAACATGTTATCTTCTGTAGCACCCATCCCCCGGCTGGTCCTTGTTTTTCTTATGATAATCAGTAACTTTGTTTTTCTTTTCACTCCAGCACAGGTGCATACACCATGATACCACCAAATGAAAATCGGCGAAATCAGATAAAAAGGAGTATGTATATTTATTAATTTACCATTCGGAATACCTTTTTTTACTTTTACAATTGGTGACATTTAGGTCTGAAGTGTTCTTATTTTCTGATTTGTACAGATAGACCTGGTTTCATCAGAGGCTTAAACGTTGTCAGTTTTAATTATGTCTTTAAAAGTACTCAGTGGTTAACATTTGTGAATCGGTTTCTCTTCTGTAGTGACAGAGCTCCTGGTTCTTTTTCATTGCCGTGGGGGGCTGAGGCGGCTTCACCACGTATTGGCAACATACGGAGCTTGTCTCTGCAAAGTTGGACAGGTTGCCAATGCCCTGATGAATACTTTTGAGACAGACAAGTGAGATACCAAACAGATCATGTCACGATTTGTATCTCTTTTGGTTGGGTCATCCCTCTGCAATGCCATTTTTCTTTACATTCTGCCAGCCCAAATTTTGTAACACTCACAGTCTACCCCCAGCTGTTTTGTTCATTTACTGACAGTTTCCAGATGTTTTTACTTGAGTAGTTCTGTTTCCTTCCATACATTCGAATTTCCTTGAGGCCAGGAAGCACGTCTTACTTAGTATGTCTATAATACGTTCAGTTGAGACTTTGTGCATGCAAAGGCCATCACCTGGACTTGGCATGTTGTCTTTTCGAGAAGGAAGGAGAGCGTAAGTTCATTTAGTTCACGCAGATATTGGGAGCCTTGTGCAAACAAATTAAACTAGGACTGAAGTCCCATGCTCTCTTTATTAGATCACTGATGGAAATGTGATTTTGTGACTAAGGATGGACGTAAGGGCACAGTAGGAGGGCAGCTGTCTAAAGTCCCCTGCCCCAGGCAGGAAGTTCCTCTGTGGTACAAGTGGATGAGCGCAGCGTCCCCCCCCCGGCCAGCCTCACATACACTGATCATGCCTATAGTACTGCGGGCATTTGGCCAGCAGAACCTCAAAAGTTTTGACATCTTAAATATTTTTGACTCCAATACTTAGCAGAAATGGGAGCCTCAGTATGATGTAGATTTTGAGATGTTTCAGCATTTTTTTTTTTCCACATTTGTATTATAATGGGCATTTGAGACAATCAAGTTTTAGGGGCATGAATGTCTCTCTGGCGCCCCCTGGTGTCCCAGGTGAATACTCGGGGTAGTGAGCCCTGCTCCCTGGGGAGTAGGTTCTGCCTAGGGATCCCCAGTGCCAGGACCCGAGCAAGGTGCCCACCCGCACGCAGACATTTGTGCCTCACAGTTACAGTAAGCATGGGGATCACTTACAACAATATGGGTGTAAAGATTCTCTGGGGGAAATGTTTGCCCCTGTGTGAAAAATTATCATTGGCATGAGTATTCCAATTTTCAGTATGTTTTCCATTAGGAGGTCTTTCACATAAGTTGATATAGGGTTTTAAGGATGCCAGAATTAAAAGAAAACCTGTATTTCTTTGTTTCAGTAGGAAAGCTAGTTATGCCAGTTCTGGTAGAATGCCCTAGGCATGGGCCCAAGATGAATCTGAACGGATAGGGCTGGACCCTGGCTTGCCTGTGGCTCATTGATCTTTGATGGCAATTGTATGCTTTGAAGGTACTGATCTGCTTGTGGATTCTAATCATTGATTGTTTGACTTTTCTAACCTGGCTTAGTTGCTGAGCAAGAGCTGGCGAACCTGCAGAGGTGGAGAGAAGAGAACAGAGCTAAGCCAGTATACCTGGAGCCCACGCAGCTGGGTAAGCAAGCAAGCAGACTGGCTACCTGAATGGGGAAGGGCAGGTCCTCCAGGGGAAATCCTGCTGGCACCTTGCATGTGTCATTGTTAAGTTGGTGGTTGTGCTGTGTGGGATGGAATTGATTGAAAGATGAAACATTGAATTGTGCGTGTGTATTGTTTCTGCTCTCTGTGAGAAGCAGATGTCTGGTGCCGCCATTATGGCAGGAATGAAGTGATGATGTAATTGCCCAAGAATTTAGAACTCCCTTAGAAAATCAACTCTGAAGAATGCTTACTGGGCACTGCCTGTGCCCTGTCACTGCACTGGGCAAGGGGAGAGGAAAGGCTGTTCTGAGCACATTCCTCATGCCAGTTAAATGCTAATGGGATAAAAAAAAAAAGGAATGGAAAGTCCATTTCAAAAGCAAAGATGAGAGTGAGCTAGGGACCCAGAGTGAGTACAAAGGAAAAGTCACCCGGGTGTCATCTACAGGTGGACTTTGGACCACAGTGGCAGGTGCCCTGTGCTGAGCTGTCTGGCCTGTCTGGGCCCACATCTGGATCACTCAGAGGGAAAGCCACCTAATGGAAGGCGTTTATGCCCTTCATTCTCTTTGTTCTGGAAGATTCAAACACCACACACACTTCTCGCGTGAATATGGGCATGGCTTGAGTTGGGCACCAGCAACTCCTGACACTTTCAGTGAAGTTCTTGTTTCTCCAAGATAGAGTTCAGCATCAGCTAATGTGGCAATCATTTCATGAGTGAACGTAGCCGTTTTGTCACCATCAGCCCACATTTCATGACAAGGATTCATCTCCAGTGTCACCTCTCTGATAATCAATCCCGACGTGCAGGACACAGGGAGAAAGTCAGTCCTTCTGAGGGGCTCGTCCCAACACTTCACGCTGCCTGTGCACCTCAGCCTCCCCCGTGCACTGTGCATGAAGGGAGAATTAGGTTGTATTAGGTATACTGAAAGAATAAAGTTACTCAACTGCTTCAGCAGCAAAGGGTCTCACTTCAGTGTGAATGTTCAGTCACAGGTACCAGTCAGAACCCTGTGGATGGAAACTGAGGTGAGCCCCCTGCCCCAGCCGAGGCCTGTTGCCAGGAGGCAGCCAGTAGGTGGAAGGGCTGTGTGGCTGGATCTTTATTTCTTTATTTTAAAAATTTTTTTAGAAGTTTATTTATTTTTTATTGGAAAGTCAGATATTCAAAAAGAAGGAGAGACAGAGAGGAAGATCTTCTATCCGATGGTTCACTCCCCAAGTGGCCGCAATGGCAGGAGCTGTGCCAATCTGAAGTCTGGAGCCAGGAGCTTCTTCCGGGTCTCCCAAGCAGGTGCAGGGTTCCAAGGCTTTGGGCCATCCTCGACTGCCTCCCCGGGCCACAGGCAGGGAGCTGGATGGGAAGCAGGGCCACCGGGATTAGAACCAGTGCCCATATGGGATCCTGCTATATTCAAGGCTAGGACTTTAGTCACTAGGCTATCACGCTGGATCTTTTTTTAAAATTTGTTTTTCTTCAATTGACTTGCGTTTTCCTAGATTGACACCTCTGGGGTCAAAGGGGAAAGAGGATATAAGAGGTGAGGCTCTGTACTGAGCTGAGCCCTGGGGCTGCCACTAGTTTGCCTTCCCAGGGGTCCCTGTGCTGCTCAGCATCCCTTCCTGTCACGCCTCTCTCACCTGGCCTTCCTGCTAGAGGTGACAAGCCATCCTGCCAACAGTAGATGCTGCCTTCACTGTTGGCTTTGATAGGTCCGCGTTGTTCTCTGAGTAGCCCTGCTGAGTCTGTCGCTTCAAGATGGCTGCAGATGGAGGTTCTTTCTCATCAGATTAGAAGCAAGGGCAACCCCTGGGTGTACTTTCTTTCCTGAACTCTGGGACCTAGGCCCTTTGCATTGCAACCACTGCTTCTTGGGAACCCAACAGAGCAGCCGATTAACAAGAGCTCTGTGTCAGCATGGGTCTGTTAGGACACTGTTTGTCTTAGGGATGCAGGTGAAGGTCTCCACACAGTTTTCCTTAAGCCTCCTTTACCTTGATGTGAAGATTTGTCCTCCAGGGACAGGGGAGATGGAATTCAGAATTCAGAAAGACATTCTTCCTCGCTTTGACCTATCCAACCCTGCTTTGTAAGTTGAAGGTAGTTGCCTGCTAAGTTTTTCTAAGCTGGGTTTCAGGTACCTTCTGGAGGATTCTGTCTAGTACTCAGGCATCTCACTTTAGAATGTGGAGCAGTTGACACAGCTGTTTGTCTTGGGACGTTGGCAGAAAATAAGTAGGAATCTCATGTCGACTTTCATATGAAGTTTGCAGGAATGGGCAGGTATGGGCAGTGGGGACAATAGAAGATAGAAAAGATGATTCTGGAATGTATTAAGCTTATAGATTTATTTTAAACGAAATCTGACATCCTGAGACATCTGGCTATCTCTATGCTTGCTAATTCTCAATGCTTCCCCATTTCTGTATCCTTTAAAATATTGGCGTGTTTGTAGATGACACTTGAAAGGGGCTGTGACATTAGATAAAAGGCTTCTAATAGTCTTCACGATTTCTTTGTGTCCTTACTCCCCGTGACAGTGACTCAAATGCCAAATCCAAATGGGCCATATATATCTTTTGTAACTCAGAAGAAAAGTCCCTGTGGTATCTTTAGCACTTCAACTACAAAAACTACAGTGAGCACACATTGTTTTAATGCTTCTTCTGTGAGCATGAATCTTCTGAAAACTGACATTCGGAGTGACCAGTGCACCCGAGAATTATGTCAAAAGAGCCTTTATGACGCCTGTCCTCACCTGGCGTAAACACCGAAAAGGCCCTTAGTGGCAGTTCTCACCTTGTCAAACTGTTAAGGGTTTCTGGATTAAAGTGATTTCAGGATTTTAAGGAAAGCAAACAAATCATCTAGCATCCACATTTTTCTCTGGAGCACCTAGAGAAGGAACAATAACTATGAATACTCATTGTAATATTTCCATTGTATTTTTAAAAACTTGGTTATAAAGTCTTACCTAGTGGCAAGACCCTTGAGAATTTTCTGAGCTTGAATGCTTGTACACAAAAAACAATAGCGTTAGGAGACATAAGGCGATTGAAACATCATCGGTCATCATGTTGATCAAGTTGCATGAATAGTCATACTCAAGTGGGAAGGATGTTCTAGAATTTCCAGAGCAGACACTCCTACCGTTCAGTATAATGCTTCAAGTTGATCTAAGTAAAAATTTCAGTACCCACAAATGGGTTGGACATTTGGCTTAGTGGCTAAGACGCTATCTGAGAGGCCCGTGTCTCAGTTGGGACTGTCTGGGTTGGCTGGCTGGTTTTGCTTGCTGACTGAAGCTTCCTATTAGTGCAGACTCTGGGGAGGAAGTGGGGTTGGCTCATGGAATTGGTTCCCTGCCACTCAGGTGGGACCTGGCTGGTGCTCCTGACTGCTGATCACCGAACTTGCCACTGTGACCATTTGGGATTGGGAACCAGCGGCTGGGGGTGCTCTCCCCGGCCTCCTCTGAAGCAAACCTAGAAGTGGTTCATGGCAGAGATACCTTCGTTGGGTTGCCCTTGCCTTTGGGCATGTGGCTTGTCTTTCTGCACAGCTCCATTTCTGCTTTCTGCAACTGCCAGTGTTTAGATTCTTATTAAGGGAGCTAGGCGTGTGTTCCTTCCAGGAATGTAGAAATGGTGAAGGAACAAATCTCATTGTTTCTTCAGGGCTGACATGTTCGCTTTGTGCTCATGTGTTTCCTTCCTTAGGTGGGAGCCAAGGTGAGAAGGAAGTCAGGCAGAGGCAGCAACTCCAACTAACGCAATCAAAATACCAGCTCAAGGTCAGTCTCCCGTTCTTTTTGTTTAAATTCAGCCTGGAATTTGAGTGCCAGCATTTTGAAGGACCTGTGAAGTAACACAATAGCATTACTGAAAACCTAACACCTTTCAACCAGGTGCAAAAGCACTTGTCAAAAGCAAAAAAATCAGGAAGGGAAAAGTAGAAAAATGCCTAGAATTTTTATCCAAACCATCTATGTATCAGTCAGTTTGATGACGGGGATTTTACAATGAATATAGATCTGAGTCTGGTGTATTTTGAATGATTTGGTTTCAAGAATTTGGATTTGTTTGTCTCATGTCCATCATGGATATGGAACAGAAGAGATTTATAATATTCAATGTTTTTTTTTTTAATACTGAACAGTACAAGTTTTATAATCAGGAAAAGTTATTTTATCCTTCTCCTATTTCCTTCGGAGAGAGACACTGAGAAAGACAGACAGGCAGACAGATGGACAGACCATGGAAGCTATGGAAAGATTACAAAATTGCTGGGCAGGAGATAGTCTGACCGTTCTGCATGATCTAGGCAGCTCCACAGAGCAACCTGCAATCACGGTGAGGTTATAGCAGAGACAATACTGTAATTTACCTTTCATTATAATTTTGTGTGTCAGAAGTTGAGGCTGAAAAATGTAACTGCTTTTTTATCCTCTATAATCTCCCCGCAATTTAGCTGAAAAGAGAAGAATCTGCAAGAATCAGGAAGGCAGCAGAAGAAGCTGAACTGCAAAAAATGAAGGCAGTTCAGAGAGAGAAGGTAAGAGGTGGGGCTGACCCAGGCCACCTTCACTACGTGCGGCATAGCAGACTTTCATCTAGACACTGGACTCCAATGAACTCATCGAATCCTCATGGTAGCCCTGTGAAGCATGGGTGATCCTTATTACCCAATGAGTAATTGAGGAAACTGACTCAGAGTGTAGACAGTTAGCCCAACACTCTGCAGCTAGGCAGTGGACTGGCCCTGGAGCTTGAGTTGTCAGTCACCACATCATCTCACTCCTTGGGGACTGACCCAAGCAGTAGCTGTGCACTTGGCTGGAAGGCAGATAGTGAGTACATGGCCATACGTGTAGTCAAACATGCACCTGCCCAGAGTAAGTGTGTTATAGGCAAACGTGCCTCCTTACTGATAGCTTAAAACATGTGAATTTGTACCTGAGGATAAGTGATATGATCTACTCTAAAAAGTCTAAAAACTAAAAAAAAAAAGTGATGTTTTAATTTTGATATTCCTTGTGGGAGTTGGGAAATTTTTTTCTTAAAAACACTTGTCTGTGGGTCTGGCATAATGGCTAATTCCTTACCTTGTAAGTACCAGGATTCCATATGGGTGCAGGTTCTTGTCCAGGCTGCTCTGCTTCCCATCTAGCCCCCTACACTTACAGCCTACAAAAACAACAGAGGATGGTTCAAAGCCTTGTGGCCTTCACCTGCATTGGAGATCTGGAAGAAGTGCCTGGCCCCTGGCTTTGGGTCAGCTCCACTCCAGTCATCACAGCCATTTAGATAGTGAACCAGAGGATGGAATGTCTTTTTCCTGTCTCTCCTTCTCTCTATAAATCTGATCTGCCTTTCCAATAAAAATAATAAATCTTTAGAGGAAAAAAAAAGCTTGTCTGCTAGGGAATGAGGATGACTGGGATGTTCTTGGCCCGTGCTTGTTCTCCACAAAGTCCAAATCTACAGTTGGTGTCAATTGTTGCTTGTGTAGGGATGTGTGTGTGACTCACGATGCATGTGGCATCTGCTGCAGGCAGAGGTCGAGGAGATGCAGCTCTAATTCCTGCTGTCCTTCCTTCCTGCCTTAACATCCTTCATTCCATTCTCTTTACTTTTAAAGAATAAGTGGTGTTCAAAATTAAAACCTGCTTATTAAGCAGCAGATATTTTTGTAACAGTCAAGAGTTAATAAAGTCACAAGCAGATGGCTCACCTGACATGTCAGAGCGTGGAGTCTCCCCTCCCCCTGGAGCGTTCTCTCTTGGCCCTTGGCGGAAGAGGGTTATTCTTTCCCAGGAGGTGTCTCTTGTGTTGTCTGATCAGGGGCAAGTCTCGAACCCTCCCTGAGCTGTCCTTGTAAGATGAGTCTTCTCCCCAGACCGAGAACATCCTCTTACTGCAGAGACGAAGGGTCAAGGGGTGGAAAGAAATACTCCATTTGCACAGGTGGGGCTGTATTAAAACCCTGCAGCTACAGAACAAGATTATAAAACTTGATTTGCAAAATTTGCTTCAGCAATGTTGATCAGATATTGTACTTTCCCCTGGAAATAGTTTCTTTTTTATTACAATAACTTTTCCATCTGCCTGTCTTCCTCTTGTGCTTTTCTATCCTCCAGTCATCTTTTCTTGATCTGTCTCTTTTTCCTATTTCTTCTTTTTTTTTAAAAATTAATCTTTATTAGAAAGGCAGATAGACAAAGAGGAGAAGAAACAGAGAGGAAGTGCTTCCTTATGCTGGTTCACTCCCCAAGTGACCGCACTGGCCATTGCTGAGCCGATCCTAAGCCAGGAGCCCGTAGCCTCTTCCAGGTCTCCCACGCGGGTGCAGGGTTCCAAGGCTCTGGGCCGTCCTCGACTGCTTTCCCAGGCCACAGGCAGGGAGCTGGATGGGAAGAGGAGCTGCCAGGATTAAAACTGGTACCCATATGGGATCCCGGGCATGCAAGGAGAGGACTTTAACCACTATGCTATCACACTGGGCCCCTCTCTTTCTTCTTAAAAGGAAATTTTGCACATTGGTTTTGTGATATTAAAGGAAATGGTATAATCTGGATGGACACATTTAAGGTAGAGCAAAGAAAATCATGAAGTCATCACCAAGAACTGAAGTAAGAGTTATTTATTTATTTGTTTTTATTTAGCAGAGATTCTGAGTCAGTGAAAGAGTGAGATAGAGCACTCTCCTGTTTGCTAGTTCATTCCCCACATGCTTGCAGCCAGTCTCCTGGATCATGCTGAAGCCAAGAGCCAGGAAATAAACCTAGGTTTTCCCTGTGGGTGGTTAGGGACTCAGCTGCCTGAGCCACTACCTGCTGCACCCCAGGCTGTGGCTTTAACAGTGAGCTGCAGTCAGGAGCGGAGCTGAGACTTGATCCTCAACCTCAAATTCAGGTTCCAAATGGTGTTTAGCTGCTACGCTAAACACCTGTTTCAGTTGCTGAAAAATTACTGTGTTGCCACCTCTTATCCTACACGGTCCTCATTAGTTTTTACTGATATCCACGTTTGGCTGATATATGGGGCTTTCATAGTTCATTAATGCAGTCTATCATGAATGTTAGCAGCTAGAACTGTCTTCTTGACATTGGGTAAAAGCAACATGCCTCTCATTCCAAGTTATACCGGAACACTAGACATTGAGCAGTCATCAAATATAGACGTTGCAGTTTGGTTGTTCCTCCTAACCTGTTACCTTTATGATTCTTGTGCATTCTATGGGAAAGGAAGAAATGGAAAGAGAGCTGGTCTACTGACTGTTTCTCTTAAAGGTGTGGCCTTTGAGCCAGTGGCACTGGCATAGCCTGGGAGTTTGTAGAAGTACAGCTTCTTAGGCTCTTTCTTAGATCATTGGGATCAGCATCTGTACTCCAGCAAGCTCCCTGGGTGATGAGTACACATTGGAAATTTTGGAGAGCATCAGTCTCAACAACCTTGCAAAAGATAGAGCCACTCTCCGGACCCCACCCTCCCACAAATTCGTGTCTGATACTGCCAGGCCCGCACTGCCATCAGGACTCCAGTGTCTGCTGTCGCGTGTACGACTGTGGCTTTTTGTACTGCATATAAGCCTGTTTAAACCGTAGCCTGTGTCAGACAAAGGAAAAATGGACGCTGGCCAGCCAGTAATGACATATTTCACATTGCCAGTGTAGAAATGGCCAAGGGAAGTGATAATAGCTGTGCTTATGGAGCACTTAGTCTTTAAAATGCACAGCAAATACACACATGGACACCAGCCTACAAAACATTGTCCTTCTCCTCATTCAAGTGGCTGCCGCCGCCGAGGAGCTCCCAGGCAGGCAGGATCCAGGCCACCCAGCTGTCTGGGCTTGACCTGCCTTTTGTCTGCCTTCCATTCAGTTTTCCCTTGCTAAGGAATAGCCCCAAGGGACCACTGGCTCTAAGCTTGGTCACTCTGTGCGTGTGTAACATTGAGAGTAAAGTGGCTCCTTAGCCAGTGTGTGTGGCTGTTCTTTGACTCGGAATGAACAGCAAGGTGCGAAAAGTATTCAGTTGTGTCAGGGAGACCCAGAAGGAGTTACTCCCTTGGATGAAAGGGAAGTATGGAGAGGTCCCTGGAATGCATGCAACTTGAATTGCCTGGAGCATGTAGGGATCTTCAGAAAGCTCAAGGACATATGTACTGTGAAAAAATTATGTGTGGATTTGAAAAATTTTCTTTTGTGCCAAAATAAGCTTAATCTCATAGTTCCATCTTTCCAGGAGTTTTGTGAAGTGCCATCATGTGTCTTTGACGTATGCATTTCTAGTATGCTAGAGCCTTCTTGTACTAACTTATAAGAGTACACTGGTAAATAGCAGGATTTTCTTGAGCTGGTTGACTTCCTGTTGACAGCCTGGGATTGACTTTGGTGGGAATATGTACATGACAAGGGCAGGCATTTAATGAGGTGGTTTGCATCCCAGTTCCTCTGCTTCTGATCCAGTTGCCTGCTGATTGTGTTCTAGGAGGCAGCAGGTGATAACTTAAGTGTGGATCCCTGTCACCCATGTGAGAGATGGAGACTGAGTTCCAGGCTCCTGGCTGCAGCCGGGCTAGCCCTGCATGTTGGAGGGCGTCCGAGGAGTGAACCAGCAAAATCTTTGTCCATCTCTGACTCTCTGCTTTACAAATAAAATGAAAAGATGAAAGATAAAAATTAAAATAAGTAAAACTTAAAAATAAGATACAGATTAAAAAAGATTATATTATAGAAATTAGTAAATACTATACTTCCGCCTCTGTTGCCCCGCTGTATGGCAGAATTGGTTGATCAAAATTTGCCAGTGCAGCATCGCTGAATGCCAAGTGTGAGAGCTACTCACTTTTCCTCCCCTAAGACCCACATTCAGAGGGCGAGGAGTGCGAAGATTTAGTGAGGAATTTTGCATGTTGTATACTCACTAGTAGTGGATTTTACAGTAGATTTTAATCCATGTGGTAGACATAATAATGCTTCAGGATGTCCAAGTCCTTGGAGCATTGGAATATGTTCTCTTATACAGGCAAGGGTCACTGATATTCACAAGGGGGCATAAGTTTGCTAGTTGAACTTGTGATATCCACGTGAGCTCAATGTAATAGAAGGTCATTGAAATCTGCAAGAGGAGGCAGAAGAGAAAGATGACGTGACAGATTCATCCTCGGTAGCTGGCTTCAAAGATGGAGGAAGAGGCCAGTAGCCAAGGAGGCGGGGGGGACAGTCGAAGCTGAAAAAGACCTCCAGTCTTCCCCCTCAGACACCCAGAGACACTTATTTCAGCACAGTGAGACTCATGCTGGATTTCTTATTTCCAGAACCTTAGAATTTTAAATTCATACTGTTTTAAGCTACTGAATTTGTAATCATTTGTTCAAGAGATCATAGAAAACTTATACAACTCATGTGTTTTTATAATGATGTGTTAATTTTTCTTCCCAGAAATCCATAAAGCAGAGACAGTGTTTTTGTAATATTAGAATCTCAGAGAAGTAGCAGGTGGTTAAAAAAGAAGGCACCATTCCAGGTAAAGAACTTTCTTTGGTGCTGG